AACCATTAGCAGTGAACTATTCATAACTCCCTTTGAATGGTCTTTCCATCTGTGTTTTTGTGACATCAAAAAGATATTTATCACCCTGGCTGGTTTGATTCAGTGCTTAGAGCACGGGCCCGAGGACCAAAGGGTCTCGGGTTTGATTCCCTGTCAAGGGCATGTACCTGGGTTTCACGTTTGGTCTCTGTCCCAGTTGGGTGCATGGGGGAGGCAGCTAATTGATGTCTCTCTCTCACATTGACGTTTCTCTCTCTCTCTCCCCCTCCGCCTTCCCTCTCTTCCACTCTCTCTAAAAATCAATGAAAAAAATATCCTTGAGTGAGGATTTTTAAAAAATACATTTATCTTTGGAAAAATATTGGTTCAACTGAGCTTATAGATCTAAATGCTGGCCTATTTCATCACACAATATCAAGAATTTACTTTCGTTATGGATAAAAAAGCTGTGGTACATATACACAATGGAGTACTATGCAGCGGTAAGAAAGAAAGATCTCTTATCCTTGGAGACAACATGGAGGGACCTGGAAAGTATTATCCTAAGTGAAAGAAGCCAAGCAGAAAAAGACAAATACCACATGAGCTCACTTATATACGGAATATAATGAACATAACAGTCTGAGGAATACAGTAGACCCAGAAACATGTAAGTAGGGCACAGACTGACATCCCTCGGAAGAGGGGGTGGGGGGGTGGGGGGTAGGAAGAGATAAACCACAGAACTTATATGCATGTATCCATGACCAATGGACATGGACAACTAAGCCGGGGATGGGGCGGAGGTGGGGTGGGGGTGGGGGGTGCCAATGGGGTAAAAAGGTAAAATATCTGTAACAAAAAAATAAATTAAAAATTCATAAAAAAAAAGGTACTACCAAAAAAAAATTTTTTTTTAAATAAAGATCAATTAACCAAAAAAAAAAAAAAAAGAATTTACTTTCATTAACATCACTACCTGTCTTACCAGAAAAGTCTTTCAGTGTTTGGGAAGTTGCTGAGCTCATAAGAGTAGGTATACATTTTCCAAAGTCCTGTGTTTTGCTTTGAAGCTCACATTCTATCTCTGGGAACAAACCATCATCAGTGGTTTTGCCATGAAATAATAGTCTCACTCTGTTTATTTTCAAAGAAATGTCTTCCAAATATCTAAATGTGAACAATTATAATTTGTCTATCAGTCATTCTTTCAGGTAAAAATGGTGTCCCACGAAAAGAGTGACCAGGTTGGCGCCCAGCTCAGGGAATCGCTCAAGTGCATTTTCATTAAACAGCCATCATGCCGGGGTATGCGGTACAATTGTTTTGTCCGTATTTCCCATGTTGTCACATAAAATATTAAAAACCTGTACTTGAGTCAAGATTTAATAAAGTTCATCATTTTAACTGCTTTGTCAAGGACATTTCAGAACAAACCTGGCATTTAGTTTTCTTTCACGGCACGTCTGTGACACTGAGCATTAACTGCTCGTGCAGTTTGGTGCCACCGCCTTGATTGACTGTACGACTGACCATTGCTTGGGCACCATCAGTGCAAAAACAAATTACATTTTAATGTAATCATGAAAACAGTTCTGACCTTGTGAACCCCCAGAAACAGTCTCAGGGATCCCTAGGGACCCCCAGACCACCCCTCGAGAACCGCTGTGCTAAGGTTATAGGGGCCGAGGGAATGCACTAGCGGAAGCTTCCCAACGGGAAGGTGATTCTTCAGGGCGGGGTCCCTTCCACAGCCTGTGTGTTTCCAAGGAGACTGATTCCATGTGGTCGCTCCCTCTGTGTTCCCTAACACTATCCTGTTATCTTCTCTGTCTGATTCTTTTTCATTTTCCCCTTGGTTCTTATTTTTATCGATTTCTTTTAAAATATATTTGTCACCAAAGTTCTGTCTTAGCACCCTGATGCCCTGGCGGTACTGTGCTGGGCTAGGCAGAGTGGGTGTGGTTACAGAACGCACCTCTGCGTGACACCCTCGCCACTTCCCCAGGAGTGAAATTGGGGCTTAAAAAAAACACAAGAATAACAAATGATGAATTTTAGGATAATCATGTCCAGACAGACGCCCTTCCTGGACAGAGGTCCCAAATGGGGAAAAGGAGGGTCTCCGAGATGAGTCTCTGAATCGTGGTGTGGGAGTTCTAACCACTGGGTACCCCTCTTCACCAGGTGAGTCAAGGAGGGCTCAAGTTTAGCTAAACTGGAGGATACTGGCAGGCAACCCAGCATCCTTGGGGGGCACAAAGAATGTACCAGGGTGAATGAAACTGTCACCCAGCTGTACACGGGCTTCCTAACTCAAAGACTCCTCCTGCGTACCCCTGCTCTCTTCATGGCCCAGTGTGTGTGACATGGGCTTAGAGAATTACTTCCTAAACTCAATTCCCTCCGTCCCTGCCCACCTTCCTGAGCTCCTGACCCTCCACCATCTAACTGTACAGCTGGTTGCTCCATGTCACCCCAAATTCAACATGTCAAAAAAAAACTCTTTTCCCTAAAACTATTTCCTAGGTCGTTTAGCATCATTAGCATCCACCTAGTTGCTTAAGCTAGAAACCTGGGTGGTCATCTCAACCGCTTCCCACAAACCCTTATCCACAATTCTAAAATCCAACAGCTGTGAAAACCACAACTTTTGAAGGTGGCATCAAACTCATTTGGCAACAAAGCAAAACTTAACCTAAAATACATGAGGCTATTTGTGATTTTTAATTTATCCCACTTGGTGAGGATATTTTTATATTTGGGGGCAGAAATATTAATGTTTGATTATGAGCACTGCCTATACTCAATTGGAAGGGTCATACATCCACTATATTACTAAAATTCTCCAAACTCTAAATTCTGGAACTTATCTGGACCCCTGAGTTTGGACTAGGGGCTGTGGTCCCATAACTGGTCCTTCTGATTCTTCCCTGCGTATGGTCCCCGGAACTAGTCTGCCCACTTCCCAGTGCCCGTACATAGGTTCCAGCTCCCCTAAATCCTCCCTTTCGTTTTCACAGTAGTCTCCTGCCGGTTTTCTTGTTTCTCCCCTTGCGCTAGTCAAACCCGCTGCTTCCATGTTTGTAAATACCATCTTCATGCCGTTGAGATTTAATCCCATCACCCATCTGTTCTGAAACACCAAGGTTCCCACCAGCTGAGCTGTGCTCTCCAAACTCAGCCATTCTAGTGGAGTCTCTTGATGTTGGCCATGTCCACGTGCAAACTGTTCTACTTCAGTTATGTTTTCTTTTAAGCTGATTAAATTTTTACTTAATTTACTTGCATAAGAATCTTATTTTCATTGCTGCAAATGGAAACCCACATCACTTGTCATATACAGAAGACAACCATAAATGTAAATACTAGAAAAACAAAACAATGAGAAACTATGTTTGCCAAAGAGGCTGACCAGAGACCAGATTGCTCTTTTTATTGAAAGGGGATATTAATAAGACTAATATTTACTGAGAACTTATTATGTGCTAAGCACCTCCCCAAGCCTTTGCATGTGTTAATTCATTTAGTCTTCCCAACTGCCCTATGAGGTTTGTACTATTTATTGTTATTCCCATTTTGCAGGTGAGGAAACTGAGCCACAGAGAAGTAAAGTAACTTGCTCGAGGTCACACAGCTGGTAAATGGTATGATTTAAAAGACTGAAAGAAACTGGAAAGATAATACATTTCTTTTTATGTGATTCAATGTTATTGGTAGTAAAGGCTCCACACTTCAGGAAACTGGCTTATTACAGGACACGCATTTCTTTGGACTTTCCGGGATTGGGCTCTCTTCTCTCTTTCCAGCCTCATCTCATGCCACGGGAACCCTTGGCCTCCAGCCCTTCCCCGAGCCACAATTTACTTACACTGGCTTGCCTTTGCTCCCGCTGCCTAGAATGTCCTCTCTCCTTTCTGTGGGCCCCAGTCATGCTCAGCTCCAGTGATACCCACAGCACTCCCTAGTGACAGTAGGCGTAATAAACTGCTCCTCCGTCTTGAGTCCAGGGCATTCAGCTTATTTTTCTGTCTTGGAACTTTATTCTCTCTTATTCTCTAGAGCTGGGGCTTCATAACCTCAGATCCTTAGCATGATGTCATACACCATTAATGCTCAATAAATGTTAAATTAGATAGATTTACACCTGCAGGGGTTTCTTCCAACATCTCCAACATATAGGGAGGACATCATGTGTCTGTGAGTGATGGTGGCTGACCATGACTGTGGCAGACACTGTACATGGGGCAGGAGGGGAGGGAGAATGGGGCAGAGAGGGGGAAGTCCCTGTGACACTGCGCCAAGTGAACACCTGTACATGAACTGTCAGCATGCCAGCACGGACTTGAGTGTCTGTGCACAGACTCTGTGCTCTATTAGCCTTTCCTGAGAGAAAGTAAGGCCAAGGCTCTAGCGCCCAGTGGCTGCCAAGGCCCCTAAAGCCACCTGTGGGTTCACAGAGGACAGGCCGTCCTTTCCCATTTGTGTAAACGGTCAAAACAAATGCGCAGTTATCTGACACGAATAAGGAGCTTCGGGCCTATACAGACCTGCAGCTCACCGCGTGGTGCTCTGTCATCTAGTCCGTTCCTCTGCTTGGTGGAGGCCAGGACACTGGTCAAGAACCACGCTCGGAATAGCTTAGCAGCCTGCGCTGAGATTCCCAGTGGCACTGCCCAGCTGCAACCAACCCTCAGGGCACGCCTTCCCGCCCGGATCGTCCTCTTGCACCGCCACTGTTTGGACTCCCGGAGCCTCACCGTTGGCTTAATTTAAACTTTCCCGCAAACATTTTACTGCCAGAGTCTGGCTCCGCCTCCTGGGCCAGTTGGGCGCGGCGCGCGGGAGTCCCGTGCGCTCTCAGCAGGGATGGCTCCGGAGCCCGGAGGGGGCGTGGCGGTCCCGGCTCGGTGGGCGGGCCCGAAGGGGGTGTGACCGTCCCGGTTCCGCGGGCGGGCCCGGGAGGAGCGCGGGGCGGGTCCTGGAGGGGCGGGCCCTGGCGGCAGCGAGGCCGAGTAAGCGGCAGGCCCGCCGCAGGCCCAGCGCGCCACCATGGTGCGACAGCGCCCGCGGGCGCGGGGACCGCCGCAGCAGCAGAAGCGGCCGAGGAGAAACGGTGGCTGAAGCCCGGGTCTCCGGGTAGTGGGCCCGCGATCCCCCTCCGTACCCGAGCCCTGATCCTCCTCCCTGCCTTCCCGGGGCGCGGCGGCGACCCCGCGGGACGATGCGTGCCCGCGGCCGCCCCGGAGGCTGAGCCCGCCGCCCCGCACTCCGCCCGCGCCCTCACGGCCGTCTCCGATGGCCTTGCCCGGCGCGGAGGGCGCGGCCGACAGGCCGGTATCCCCGGCCCGGGGCGCCCCCGCCGGCTCCGCGTCGTCGTCGTCCGCCTCCTCCGGCGGCTCGGCCTCGGCGGACGCGGGGCTGTGGGCCGCGCTCTACGACTACGAGGCGCGCGGCGAGGACGAGCTGAGCCTGCGGCGCGGCCAACTGGTGGAGGTACTGTCCCAGGACGCCGCCGTGTCGGGCGACGAGGGCTGGTGGGCCGGCCAGGTGCAGCGGCGCCTGGGCATCTTCCCCGCCAACTACGTGGCGCCGTGCCGCCCGGCCGCTGTCCCCGCGCCACCGCCCGCTCGCTCGCCGCCGCCGCGGCCCGGCTCGCCCGTGCACGTCGACTTCGAGCGGCTGGAGCTCAAGGAGCTCATCGGCGCCGGCGGCTTCGGGCAGGTGTACCGCGCCACCTGGCAGGGCCAGGAGGTGGCGGTGAAGGCGGCGCGCCGGGACCCGGAGCAGGACGCGGCGGCGGCGGCCGAGAGCGTGCGGCGGGAGGCGCGGCTCTTCGCCATGCTGCAGCACCCCAACATCATCGAGCTGCGCGGCGTGTGCCTGCGGCAGCCGCACCTCTGCCTGGTGCTCGAGTTCGCCCGCGGCGGAGCGCTCAACCGCGCGCTGGCCGCTGCCAACGCCGCCCCGGATCCGCGCGCCCCCGGCCAGCGCCGCGCGCGCCGCATCCCCCCGCACGTGCTGGTCAACTGGGCGGTGCAGATCGCGCGCGGCATGCTCTACCTGCACGAGGAGGCCGTGGTGCCCATCCTGCACCGGGACCTCAAATCCAGCAACAGTAAGTGGGGCGGGGGTAAGAGGGATGTACGCAGCCGTGCCCTGCGCAGCCCACTCCTGTGCCAGAGCTGGGCGGGCTCCCTGGGCCTAGTGCCAGGTGGATGGAAGGAGGAGGGGGCCAGCTTGGGTGCCAGCAGCACCTCCTGCGCAGGCCTTTCAGGACTCAGAGGTCCAGCTAGACCTTAGGTGACTTGTTTCGGGCAGGTGACACACTTACCTTGACTTGTTGCATTTGGATGCCTTCTTAAAAATGCGGATCAGACTTGCAGACTAAACACTTGTAACATGTCTGGATCTTCTGGAAACTTCAAGGTGCTGTTTGACCTTTAGGTACAAGCGTGGTTCGTTCATTTGGGCAGAACTTTGCAAACCACTGCCTTCTTCGGATTATACGGAACCGTGGCCCTCCTCTGGCCTAGCAGCCTTCATCAAACTCCCCTTTCCCTCAGCTTCACAAGTGCTTATGGAGGTTGCTCTTCTCCCACTTTATGGCTTCTGTCCTTTGACGTTTCCAAAGTCTTTTCATTCAGATGTCTCAGCTCAGGAAGTGTGATTTTATTATTGGTTTGGGTAGCTTGAATGCTGGTTAATAGACTCCAGACAAGAAACACCAGTTTGTAACATCCTGCACGTTTGGGTAGATTGCCCTTGCACAGCTACAGTACTTGAAATCCTGCAGACCAGGCCTGTATCATTTACTTTCTCCATAAATCTGGGTCAGTTTTCCAGATGTCAATAAGTGACAGTTGAACTAAACGCAAATTCTAATATATTCCACCATATAAAAGAGCTAGTAGAATTGCTGTTTACAGTTGGTTCTTCGATATGGGAAATCACTCAGTGTTCTTAGAATGAGGTGAATCTTATGACAGATTAAAGGATACAGCCTGAACTGGCATTGGCCTGCCACAGCTGCGTGTCTCTCAACCTTGTCAAACCTGCTGGGACGGGAGCTAACTCAGCTGGAAATATTGTCCGTCTCCAAGTCTACGGAAAGTAGAGGGACAAGAAGAAATGATACATTTGCTGTGTGTTTGGGTAGATTTTTTCTCCCCTACTTGAATCCTTACTTGAAAATGACTAGTGAGCATTTTGATTATGGGAATTATAAATAATTTGAACGTTGGTAACTACATATAAACATTGAATACTTTTCATTTAGGTTTTACTTTATGACTCTCACTAATCCCTCATCTTATAACTTAGGTCACAGCTGCTTAAGTGACAGGAGCAATTGCCAACGAAGTATGGCATAGAGAAGTGGTAGTTGTGTGTATTAGAGTTCTGACAGAGGCCACAAGAAGGATGCCAGCATTATTTACTTTGGGACTGTGTAGAGTAGACATAGTAAAATGTTAATGTACTCACTTTTGTAAATGCTTCAAACCAGACACAGGCTTTGCTACCACTTGGTGCTTATTTCCTAAAATATTCTTTTAGTGAAAGAAATGTTTAACCTGCTGCCGTAGAACAAGGCCTGTGTGTCTTGTCCATGCGTCCCATAAGCCCTCTCCCCAGTGACATCTGTGAGCCTGTGTTTTCCCAGAGTTTTCTGCAGAACCAGGTATTTTAAGGACAGGGGCATCATCATTGCTTGCCCTGTGTCTTAGCAACTGCAGCAATTCTGTGATGCTCATATAACCTGGCATTTTACAGTCATATTCTGTTGCAGAACATCAAATCACCAACACAGGCAAACAATTTGGGTTGGATTGGTCTTTAGACCAAAACATCTGTTTTGTTGGGTTGTAGTAATAATGGGCAACTATGTGAACTACCCACAAGGTACAATACGTTTGCTAGTGTTTGTAAAAGCATAGAAAGGGAGATTCATCTATGTTCCAATCATAGATTTTTTTATATAAATTAAAAACTTTTAAAGAACTAATACTATTAAATAGTACAAAGAAATAACATGGCCTTGGAATAATAACTATGGTTAAATAGGTTTTATTGACACTGGAAAAACTTGTACAGTAGAATCATCCCCTCCTGGGAACATGGTAAATATTATGTAATTTGAAGGTGATTATATGCTGCGACTTAGTTTTTGAAAGACTTTTCACCGTCAAAATAAATTGCCAAACTTCCTGGAGCATTTTAACTTCTATAATTGTCAGGCAGGGTTGCCTTTCTGTTAAATTTTTACACTTTTAAAAAGACTTAATTGGCTAGGTCACTAGCCTAGCCAAATATTTGGTACAACATGGCCATTATTATAGTTCTTAAATTATAGTCACATGAGCATTTTAAATAGGGCCTAAAATGTGCAAACCATAGTGCCTCGTACATTGCTTATCCTGGCTCTCTGGTGTTACTTATTCAAGGAATAAATGCAGATACTTTGGTATTTTCTTGTGATAGGTGATAGCCATCACTTCGTGTTCTATTACAGTATGTTTTGTTTGACTTTATTGGTTATTTGCTTATGGTGGTAGTGAGTTAATGATAATGTAAACAATGTCTTAAAAATCAATATTGAATTTTTTTTCACTCTGTAGTCTACTTAGGTAACAAAGAGTCAGTGTAAGACTGTTTGGAACCAAGTGAGTGGAAACTGTTGTTTGAGACAAATGTTTAAATGTGTCAAAGGAAGACATGGCCCTTGATAGATATTCTTTGCTCTTTTTTCATGGTCTTTTCAGTTTCATCATATTGTTTGAGACAGTTTATGTTGCAATAATAGCTCATATGTTGTGATGGTACAACACTTTTGTCCCTTTTTTAACAGAGAGCAAGAAATTGAACATTGAGCCAAATTAGCAAGTTTCAAGCGTCATTTACGTTGTTAAACTCTGCTAGGCCAAGTCACTCCCGGGTTGCAGAGTACATAAAAAACCGTTTGCTAGATCTGTCCCTGCGCAGCAACTAGCTAACAGTGCAGTGCAACTCCAGTGAAAATGGCCCATTTTATATGCATTCTGAATATCATGAGGACAGAAAAATCATGGTGAGCGGGAACTCATTTATTCAGTACAAGGTGAGTGTCCATTCTGTACCAGTCACAGTGGCAAACTGATGGCAGTAGCCTCACCGGCACAGGGCTTAGTCTACTAAGAAAGATAGATGGCAGCCGGGCAATGGCACGCCTTAGGAAGCCCATCAGGAATAACTCGTGGTGAGGGGCAGAGATGGGTGCAGAATGGAAGGTGCTGCTGGGACAGGGTGGTCAAGGGAAGCTGCTCTGAGGATGTTACACAAACAGAGACATGGACGAGGAGTCAAGCACAGATCCAGGCGGGGGGAGGATGAGCCTGGAGTGGAGGGCGCTGCTGAAGTCAGCGGGTGGGCCCTGCAGGCTGCGCTCCACCTGGGTCCTGCCTGCCAGCGGGCCCTGAGGCTGCGCACTGTGTGCGGAGCTTGTGATCGGGTTTCTGTGTTGACAGCATTACTCTGGCTGCTCTGGAGGACGGACCGAGAGTTGGCCTAAGCGAGGGCTGGCGAGGGTGTCCGGGCTGGAGCAGGCATCGGCTTGGCCGAGCAGGTAGCAGTGGAGATTTCCAGGAAGTTCAGGGAGGAATGCAGATAAAACAGTCCACGAGTGAACTGCTGAGGCTGGTTCTAATGACTAGAATGTCGTCGAAGTGTCTTGTTTATCCTGACACATCCAGGGTTGGAAGACGATTAGGTGGTGTGATTATGGTTCCTAATTATTATTATTATTATTATTATTATTATTTTTAATATTGCTTACTGTGTTCCGTCTTTTTTAAAGAAAGTAGAAAATAAACATTCCATAAGAAACTGAGCCACACATCTCAGCTGCGTACTTTCATGCTTTTTATTTCAATGATTAAGGACTTTTTTATCCTGATTATTTTAGCCTTCTGGGAATAATCATTATCTGTATTATTATCTACAACAGCATCTACAATCTATAAGTAGACACAGATATTTGTCATGAAATGCAATTTAGAGCTCCAAAAATACTACAAAAGGAATTACGTTTTTTTTTGCTTTTCTCATTAATACAATGTAAATAAAAGAACTATTTGAGAAAATTATAGCAAATGTAATCTCTAAGGTGTTTAAAAAGCTTTTAAGAATGACTTGGAGGAGCTATTAATTATGCTACGATCAGTTAAAAGACATGCCTCCTATTCCTTCTCTGTCTCCACCCCCCCAGACGTGTAGCTTCATGCCACCGTGGCCACTTCCTGTTCAAGGGGCACAGGCAGCAGCCCAGGTATCACAGTGGCTGCAGAAAGCTAATCTGCTTCTGAAACAGAATGAGCTCAAGAACAGAATCAGCTCAAGAAGAGTGATCACAAAGGGTCCCCACATCGTCCCCTGTCGCTTTCCTGCTTGCATATAATATAAACAGGCCACTTCTTATATTTTATAGCTGTGAGGGGGCAGTTCTTTATTTCTGGATTGTGCAAACCTACTCTGTAGTGTACACATCCGGTCATTTTTGTTGTGGTCAAGTCTATCAGCACGATAAAGGAAAGAGGGGAGGGAAATGTGTTGAATTTTTCCAGAATAGCTAGTTACTGGAAGGAGCATTGTTTCTTCTAGAATAGTACAGCTACTGGAAGTCACTCAGACCTGTGTTTGAATATTAGTGTCATCATTTACGAGCTGTGTGACCTTGAGCAAGTTATATAACCTCATTGAACCTGAATTTCTTGATTTCTGATGCTGTCTACTGAGTCTGTCTCTTGGAAATGGACCGAAGCCCTGTAGAAAAAAGATTTGTTTAATGTTTCATTAACCCTTCAAAGGCAGGTGGGTAGATACTAGCCTGAAAACAGGGCTTTTCTGGGGAACAGTGAGTAGCTGGGTGTGACTCTAATGAAAGGCAGATGAGGGGTTTTGTGAGCAGGAAATAGGCATTTAGCATGTGCCAGACCTTGAGTGACTTGATTCCTGCTAAGATGTGTCCACTCTCTGAGGGCAGGAGTGAGCCATTGGAGGTTTTGAGGAGGAAAGTGGTCAGATCTGCTGAAAGATAAACATCTACAAAGAAAAGACCTGTACGCCCAGGATCATTGGCTTTAT